CCACCCCTTCCACTCCCCTCCCCCTCCCTCCCCTCCGCACCCTTTCCCTTTTTGTTAGGCTCTGGCCCCGCCCGCCTCCTTTGCGGGCAGGCCATTCCCTCCCTCTTGGTTCGTCCCGCCCTCTGCCCGGCGGGATGTTCGCCCCACAGCGGCTTTTCTTCAGACGGCCGCTCTGATTGGCTTTCCACCCTTCACTCACGCTCCCCTCACCTTCCCGGTTGCTCCCACCGCCTTTATCTAACACCTCCTCGATGTTCCCGCCAAGGGCGTCCTCCCCCCGCCCTCCCTCTCCTGGCTCGGCGCCATCTTGGGGCGCAGAGTGGGGCGGTCGAGCCCAAACTTCCTCAGGCTCTGATTTCCCCGCGGCAGCCCTGGCCTCCTCGATTAACCCACCCCAGAAGGATTTAGCACGTTTCTGTCCCTCTGTGTGCGGGTAGGGGTTCGATTGAGAGGACATGTAATTGTCATCATCAGAGGGGTGCAAAGTCCGCGTGGCCGCCCCGACTCCCAGTCCCGGGGTGGCCAACAAACGGCTCTCCACCGCCCTCCAGGTCTCCCGCTCCCGCATGGCCCTGCGCAGGGCCCGCACGACTCTCCCCCACGACTCTAGGCTTCTCCCACAACCCGAGGGCATCGTCTCCTCAGTTAACGCTTTAGTGCGCTTACCCCACACTTCGGGGTGGAGAATATCCACCGGCTGGTCAATGACCCCAATTCGCAAAAGCCTTGCAATAGAGAGAGTAAAATCTTTGGGCTTAAAATCGATACCCCACTGCTTATCTAACTGCGATACGACCTTCACAAGGACTTCCATCCTCCTTGTTGGTCCGGGAGCGTCCTCCCTGCCGGGCTGGTCCTGCCACTCCGGCCGCCATTCACCCATCCAGGCGACAATCACGGGTTTCGGCACCACTTGTTGCCTATCGTAGGCGTGGCGACCTGGTTTGGGAACGGCACGGCAACCAATCTCAGGTCGCTCGGTACATCGACTCGCTGACACCAATGTGGTGGATGGCAAATGGCGTTTATTGGCAGGTAAAACAGCCTTATATAACCTGAGCACTGAACGCTATTGGCTATCGGGAGGGGGACCCTGCCTTCCCGTACAACGCGATATCTTCCGGGCGCCAGACCCTCACTACCACACCCTCCACTCCTGTCTCCTCCCGTCTCCTCCCCTCCGCTTTCCTCCCATCCCCTCCTGTCCCCTCCTCTCCTC